TTAATTAAACTTTTAAGAAGAAAAACCTAATAAATTTAAGAATAAAAGCGTTATTATAATTAAAGTTAAAGAAGTAAGTAAAGTTTATTAGTTTAAGATAAAAGAAAGAGAAAAAGAAAAAGACTATTACTTAAAAGAATAATACTAATAAAGAATATTACGTTAATAATTATTAATTATTACTCTTTTTCTTATAAGGTTTTAATAAGAGTAATAAAATATATATATTAGCTTTTAATAAATAAGCCTTTATAATTATATTAAGAAGAGGTGTTTAATTTTTATAATTAATTATAATTACTTTAATTAAATTAATAAGTGGGGTATACATTAGGGCTCGTACCGCCCACAATGTGTACCGGTGTAACTTGTACTTTACATCCCACATAACGGGACAATACATACAGTTGCAACATTTTTAATGGGATCAATGAGAGAGTTCGGCATGTCCCACACCTTGGCCCTCCCGCAAACATCATTGCGCCACTTTGAGTAGCAATCGTATTCATCGCCCCTCAGTGGTTCCGGCCCAAAGTGTCACAGGAGCCCCATGCTCTCCCGCAACTGAAAGGGCCACCAAAGGACTTAGGCTAAAAAGGGGGGTGATTTGAATCTTTATCTTTAGTATAAAACATTGGCAGACTTGGGCACAAGAGAAAAATTCTCTTTGGATAGAACTAGACCCCGATACGGCTTATTGAGACCAAATGAGTAGTTGGCTGGCAAGTCTGAATCATTGTCTGCTCATCAAGGTTTATCCAGGTTTGCAATCGCAATGAAAAATTACTATAGTACCGTCAGCGCATTACTTAAAGTACTCATGCGGATGCTTACAAGCTAACTGTGAGGTGCGATGGTTTACGTAAATAAGCAGCAGGTGTTGAAGTGGCTACAAATGCTTCCTGTGAGGCGCTATACAATAGCTGAGAAGGCGGCTCTGCGGTCAACAGCAGCCTGCGGAGTTGGAGCCAATAATGCTGTGAAAAGCAGACATGCCAACCAAACAACCTGCAATCCGGCGCACCGAGCAGAGCGTATTCCAGCATTGGGACGGATCGGCTCCGCGCTCGCAACGTTCCATAGGTGAACGACCATTTGGAGGGGAGCTATTTCGCATTCGCGAGCGTTGATAGCGCAAAAAAGCTAGGAATCATCCAAGAGCAAGCATGGCAATTGCTGTAAGATAAAGGAGCTCTTGACCTCTCTAGCCAATATTGATCAAAGGTACGGAGTAATGGAGCGGGGTTTGACATTCCCAGTCTCCTCGTCCAAGGTGGGATTGCCGTATAGCACACCTGACGCTGACCCGCCTGGCTTCCGTTGTACAAGGGCCTTTGTTGGTCGTCGTTTCCGTGAACGGCGGGGTTATTGATGGTTCTGCAGAAAACGTGAATGCAGTGCAGTGGGAGCTGCAATAACCTATGTACCTTTAGTAGTTGAGAGCCAACGAAATAGGAAGGCCTTCCGGAGTTCATGTATGCTGTATGCTTATCGACGTACATACATGATGTGGCATTCTGGCTCGCCGAAATCTGACCTTGAAAGGCGCGAAAAAAAAGGGTAATCTAGAAGAAAAACCATGGCTGGGCGCCCCCCCCTTCACCACATACTAACGTAACATCGGCTGGCGGAGTTTTGGATGCGCATCCAGGCATCTAGAAGTTGAAGTTTGGGCGGTTACGGAATCAGGAGTAGGGAGAAGAAGAGAGCTTTGCAATGATACCCTGACGCCGCGGGCCACATGCAGGCAGTGGGGCCCTTGATCTGGCTTTTGGAGAGTTCTTGGGAAGTTGATCAGGGAAGGAGCATTGGGCGGGCTCGTACCAGACAGCCCAGTTGAACCACATCATGTGCAGACATTTGCGCATGCTTCCCAGCCCCCCAACGGTAGACTGGCAAGACAAACGGCTTCATATTCGCCCGTTATCAATCCTCGCATCATGAGCAGTGACAGCGGTCCGCCCCATACCGAATTGCTCGGCTGTCTTCGATGGTAGTTCCGAGGCTCGGGGCCGCACGGCTTAATTTGTCTGTGCGGGTGCGCACACACATCGACCGGCATCAGCCAACACGGAAACGGCCCTGTGCAACCAACACCAGCCATTCATCCAATTCATCAGAAGCACTGCCAAATCTGGCCAAGAGCATTGTAACCAGCGCAGACAGCGTCGTGTCCAAGCAGACGTTGGTGGCACGCTGTGGATCAAACCTTGTTCTTTTGCTTCTCTGCGGAGTAGACCAGCGCGATATGGCATCAGCCCAGGGCCCACGTTTTGGTTTACGGTCCCATGGTCCGATGGCCATATTCCCATCTGGGCCGTCATCACTGTTGGTAGTGGCGGCCATTTCATGTCTCAAGAAGGATGATGATGAGCGACGGACGGACCAGTTTGGCCAACGGGGCCGTTATGGCTCTCTCTCCACCTTTGCTCTTTCTGTTTTATTTTATCTTATTTTGTTTGTTTTCTGTCTATACTATTTAATGTTTTTTGGTTTCTGCCTTTTGTATTTCAAACTTGCATTCTTGCCGATATATCAACCTTTACGCTGGTGTCTGCGTGGCGTTGACGCATTGCATTGCATCAACCTAGCTGCACGTCTACCACCACTAGCTACCAGCTTTCCATGCAAGTGTCTCGTCTTCACTCCCGTGAAGCCGGCTTCCTAGGGCCTGTTTCTTGGATTAATTGGCTGCTACTGTGTCTCCTTTCATGCATGGGACCTCGTGGCTCGACTCCGTTGACTTACACCTTCACCTCGACTTCCACCAGCCTCGACGCAGGTCAGTTCTCCGCAACATCGTCTGTATTTACAAGAAAGAAAACCAACCTTGGCTTAGCCCTCCCGCCTTGTGTTATTCAATTGGCCTCTGCACAACTGGACAGGCGTGTGTTGCCTCCTGAGCATTCGAGAAGCGAGTGTCTCACTTCACATCAGGAATAGTCATAACACATAATTTCCCCGCCATTCCACGATTGACCAGCAAGGTCTTGATCGCCGAATTCCTCTAAAGAATCCGTCGTCAGTCGGTGAAGACTCAATATCAGCAACATGGTATCACGCCTGCGCCCGGGCCCGGGCCACCAAAATACTCAGAGACTCGACGAGAAGGGCATTTCTCGCCTGAGTGCTACCGGCTCCACGGACGAGGAAGCCAACATTCCGGCCAGCGACCACGAACTGGCAGCGAAGTTGCCTGTGCCTTCTAAACTGAGGGAAATCAACAACCGGATAGAAAACTTGGCCGGCTTTGAAGCCCGTGGTATTACACGGGTACTTCCCGAAGAGCGTCAACCTCCCTCATGGTCCAGCGATCTCCAAGTAGCCATCATGTGGTACAGCGCCAATATCTCTCTGAATAATCTCGCTGCCGCCATGCTAGGACCTTTGGCTTTTGAATTGGGCTTTTTGGACTGTGCCATGTGTGCTGTATTCGGGGCCCTTGTTGGCAGTTTAACTACAGCGTATATGAGTATTTGGGGTCCTCAAAGTGGAAACCGGACAATGGTGAGTTGTCACATCTATGACACGACCTTTGTAGTCGTAAAAGCACTATACCACATCAAGATCAATCCTCACTTGACTTCTGTACGTGTATTTGCTAACCCACAACGCTTTGTTCAGGTCATTTTGCGATTCTTTATGGGCTATTGGCCATCCAAGATTCTGTGCTTCCTCAACATCATTCTTATGATTGGTTACGCGACCATTGACGGCATCATTGGAGGACAAGTTTTGTCCGCTGTTAGCGGCGGTAAGATGACTATCATTGTCGGAATTATCGTGGTGAGCGTGGTTTGCTGGGTGGTTGCAGTTTTTGGCATGGCTCTGTTTCACAAGTACGAACGGTAAGTAGATCACTGGCCTCCATGTGCCAGGTCTCCTGAACTCGTGAGGGAAAGACCACTAACCTGTATATAGATACTCGTGGCTTCCCCAAACTATTGCTCTCTTCATTCTTATCGGTGTTGCTGGGCCATATTTTGACGCTTCAGCTCCCTCCAAGAACAGCGGCGCGCTCCTCGCCGCTCAACGCCTCTCATTCTTCAACATCTGCCTGTATGTGCCCAACTCGTGGGCCGGCGCGGCCTCTGACTTCTACGTCTACTACCCCGAGAAGACCTCGAAGCGCAAGATCTTCCTTCTCACTCTCACCGGCATCTGGACTGCCTTCACCTTTGTCTACCTCATTGCCATTGGTCTCGGAACCGGAGTTGCCAACAGCCCTGCCTGGGCCGAGGCCAACGGTGTCAGCTCGGGCGCTCTCATTGTTGCTGGATACGAACCTCTCAAGGGTTTTGGAAGGTTTTGTTCTGTTGTCGTGTCGCTGGGGGTCATTGCCAACAGTATTCCGAGTACCTACTCTGCAGCTCTCGGTGTCCAAGTTCTTGGTCGCTATTTCAAGGTTGTTCCCCGATACGTTTGGTCGACGGTTATCATTCTGATTGAGTTTGTGCTGGCTGTTGCCGGTCGCGACCAGCTATTTACCATTTTCCAGAATTTCTGTGCCCTGATGGGCTACTGGGCAATGATTATGTTCTTCATCGTGCTCATGGAGCACCTCATGTTCCGTGGCCGCAGGGGTTTCGACTGGTCTCGATGGGAAGACAAAGAATACCAGCCGCTGGGCCTTGCTGCCCTGGCAAGTTTCTTGGTTGGATGGGCTGGCGCGGTGCTTGGCATGGCTCAAGCGTGGTATACTGGTCCCATTGCGAAATTAGCCGAAGGCGGCGATGTTGGATTATGGATTGCCTGTGGCTTTACTATTATTTCATTCCCGCCGCTGCGAGCTTTGGAGCTGAGGGTTTTCGGAAGATGAACTCGGCACCAAGTGGCGAGATTCATCACTGACCTTTGTTTTGGTATTTTTTATGAGCCTACGAAACCATGACCCGTGATATGACTTTGGCATTACGTTGGCAGATGGTTGTATTGGTTGGAAATGGCTTCGGGGGGGAAGGGGGCTGCGTACGGTGAGTGAAGCAATTTCCGGAGGCAATTGTTAGTCTTGGATTGGGCATCTTATGAGTAGTATGTAGATCAACGCAGAATGGAGTTATCTGATATACGTGGTGCTACACAACGTGACACGGATAGAATCACAGGTTCTAGCAGCCTCGACATGCTCGAAACGAAATGGAGTCAACCCCCGTGCAGTCCACCGATCATGCCTTTGCGACGTCCTACTTTGCTTGTCGCTCACGTAGGTGTTATCGGCCCTCTATCCAGTTGGACCTGGGGAAGGTGTACCACTTGAACATTGGCAAGGTTGGGACGGAAGTGTTTATTTCGCTAGACATGCATTAGAATATGCTTCGACAAGTGTCCCATTTGGCCACGGAGGGAAAAGCCATATGAGGAGTTGATTAGGCGTCGAGGCTGACGTGGAATATCCCGTGCCGTCCGAATTCATGTAACTGCAGACTGTCAGCATTGTATACTTTACTTGCTTCGGAGCCTTGTTTGAATGTTGCCATCAGTGTTCCTCGCCATGTTCCTCCCAACACGACAACTGAAGGAATTTGTCGTGCCCGGCCTGAATATCTCCCTGCCTCTGGCAACCACCTCAGTTTTCACCATGGCCGTCCAACGCTCGTACGGATACTTGGGCAATTCAAAACATGTGTCGGCGTGTAATAGATTGTACGGCACCGCGAGCCTCCGCTGCCCCGTCAAGTATGTCTCAAGAAGCGATAAGCAGAAGTGCACTCTTCCTGCGGCATAATTCCTGCATGGCTTCAACATTGTCTGCCAACGGCAATCTGCATGAATCGCGGGATTCATCCTGGCTCGTCTTCATCCTTCCCGAGGTCCGGGTATTCTGTGAACAGAGTCGGCTGTCGGAGCATCCTGAACCCATGCCGACTTGTGCTTATACGACTCCCGGCGAGAGTAAGCCGTAGCAGTTGCGGGCGAAATATTTGGGCATCGATTGGTAGGACTGTGTACGGCGATAATCCAGCCCGAGAGGATGCCAGGGTATAATTTCGCGGCATGGCAAGGCCATAGGCTCGGGGGGCGGTAGAATATGTTCAGGAGGTATGAGGGAAGCGCTGCCTTGTAGAGCAAATCACAGTCTGTGATGTCTTGCTATTCATGCTCCAGTCAGGTTGGATGTGACGGGGTAGTTTAGAAGAGTAGTAGTCAGGTATTTACATGCCAAGGAATTTGCAAATCGATGTGCCACGCTCGGGAGGTGCTGTCCTTTCTTGCACGCATGCGGAGTGTGGGGGTCCAAGTCACCCATCATGATGAGAGTCTTGGTTACTTCAAGGTTGAAGAGGCCTTAAATCTGTGAGATGTGAGCCGTAAGCTCGCGGCGGTAGTCGCAGGTGTGTGGCCGATGGAATGGTCTTTGTCTCTTGACAGGGAGGCTCTGGGGCAATGCTCCTGAATTTGACGTTGTCACTGCCATGTCTGCAGAGGAAGTCTCATTTTAACCTACATATGTACCTTTAAGTTGTAAATAGGAGTGTGCGCCTTGTACTCTTCTTCTTCTAGACTCGTCTACCCCCGCCAGCTATTATAATTAGAGGGCAGTCCCGGTGCTCTATTCCCCCTTGGATATGCTTTACATGCTTTTCTCTCCTTGTGCCTCTCTTCATCCTCTGGCCTCAACATACTTCAAGGAGAGGATGACTGACCGAGTACATGTCGTCTCTATACCTGCGCATCACGGGTGTGATTATACGAGGTATGCGAGTCATTCATGATTGCAGTCAAAATGGTTTCGGCGCCGGTATTTGTTCAACTAGAAAAGATGCTGGCAACATGATCAATTCACACCGACCATTCGCCTTTTTTTTGGTACCATCTGCCGTTACCGTAGGGAAAGAAACACGGAGTGGTCTCTGGCTGCACTGCAACACCTTGTCGCTCAACACGATGCGACGTCACCATGGGATATGGAACGTGTTTCCAGGCATCCAAGTAGCATAAGTCTTCACTAGTGTCTGGTGATGCATTGGCGGCTAATTTGGCTCAATTACACAATGCAACATCTGCAAAGCCCCCACGGCTGTTGGAAATGCAACCACTCTGCGCACCCTTGCATTTGTTTGCAGAGCCTCGATTCATACAACCATCACGAGGTTTTCCGAGTCACCATCTCTTGGGGGAAAAAAATGTGCCCAACGCGCGCTCTCACATGACATCCAAGCGAAACGCGGCAGAAGTGCAATACAGAGCTCAAACATCTCACAGGAAATCAGACCATCGAACCGGTTCGTCTCTGCTTCGCTGCAGGTCCGCTTAAACGCGGTGGATTCCCCATTCAGGATGCCCTGGACATAGATGGGCAGACAGGGTGTCTTGTTGGTTTGCCTGAGCCCACCCAGGACCGTCTCGGACCTGTCTTTGGTACGTTCGGAAATCACACGCTGCGGCCAAATGGTACCCAGCGCATGGGCTTGCGAGTACTCGTGCCGGACGCTTAGCAGCGAGGGCATCGACGAGGCAATAACCGGCGATTGTCCGTCAGGCAAGATACACCAGCTACGGGGGCATTTGGATACATGTATGACTCGATATAATGACGCAACGGTGGCAGTCTAGATTGGGCGTCAGGCAAGCCAACAAGAAGAGATGATTGATTGAAATTAAAATTCATTTATTAAATTATTAAATGATGATGATAATAATAACAAGGTATCTAGCTACAAACAGACCAAGATGATGTGCAAAGGCGACCTTGACATGGGGGCATATCAAACGCAAGCGCGTGTACGCATCGCTCGGAAACCATGGGACTTTTGGGCTGCATGATCCCATAAAGGAGCTAACATGCCGCTACCAGAACAAACGTGACGGGGGAAAATTACCGGAATATGCGGCGCAGCTTTTCTGACTCGCAGGCCGGCAAGGTCCCGGCCTCCGCCGGCATTGAAGAAGGCACATGAAGATGTTCAACCGAACGGTGTACTTGGTATTCCATAACAGTGAAATCAGAGGTTGAATGCCGTGAAATTGGGGGGTTAGTGCCTCACGCAGCTGCGCAATCTAGTCGAGGTACATGCTCGGGATGGAATCGATTCGGTGGTACTCTGTCTCAGGTCCAACACCACGGTTTCGAGAAACCACATGACGGAAGCGCATCAGATAGTCCAACTCTGTAGGCAACCACCTGGATATACGTGGATGATTCGCATCAGATACCTGACCGAGGTGATTTTATCTCGACCCTTGTCCCCTCTGCTCCGGCCTGGGCTAGTTCGTGTCGCCCAGGACCTGCAGAGAGCCCTTGGCAGGGGCCGGCCTGGGTTTTGACAAGGGGAACCATCAACTGAATCTCCCGACAATTGTGGCATCATCTCTCCATGCATCGCCGAGCCCGTCAATTCAAGCTTCACCCCGTCCGTCGTACGACAGACAGCACAGCCCTTTCATTTCTGGCCCCCAGCGGCCCGTGGGAGGGCGTTGAAATGCCGCGAGAACCCACTCATAGATTGACTCTGTGGCCGGTGAAGCACACGAGTGCCAATCAAGGTTTGGGGGGGGAAACGGTGCTACAGAGCAATAAATTAGTCTCGGTGCGGAGGGGGCGTTGCATCCGGCAGTCAGCAAATTCACACGTCAGCCGGATCCATGCAGCGCCGCTCTTGAAGAATTGACTTTTTTTCCTTTTTGAACTAGTGATTGTCGTGCTTGTGCGGAATTTGCCGCCCACGTGTGTTACGGGGTAATAAATAATAATATATGCGGGAACTATTGAGGCGGCTTACATGCGCCGGGGAGTGAGAAGCGCGCCTCTTGTCCCATCACCACCAATGCGAACGGCTTCTCCATCTCACTTGTTTTTTCCACCCCAGGGACAGTTAGGCAGTCCCCTTTGGCTCCCAGCCCGGCTCGGCCATCTCGAAGCCCGCAAACTCGAAACCCGGCGCCACGGAGCATCCCACCAGCGTCCAGTCCCCCAGGGACTGCGCGTGCTGCCACTCGCCGCGCTCAACGACAACCTGTGGCCGCTGGCCGTTCCAGATGTCGGGGCCAAGAACCGCATCGCGGACGGGCCTGCCGTCGTCCCACGACAGCGAGAGCCGCAGCGGCGCGCCGGCGTAGTAATGCCACACTTCGACGGCGTCGACCACGCGGTGCCAGTGCGACAGCCCTGACTCGCCCTCGAGGAGGTAGTAGATGTACGTGCTGGGGGCGCGGCCATCGGCAGATGTCTCTGGGTCCCGGAACGTCTCGACGTAGTAGCCCTTTTCCGGATGGGGGGCCAGGTTGAGCGCCGCGATGACATCCTGGGCCGTCTTGGGCGTTGCCATGTTGACTGTACGTGATGGCGTCTCGGGGTACTGATGGCTTTTACAATTCAACAGCGAGGAATACAAGAGAAGAGAGAAGAGAAGAAAAGGCCGGCGGTTGATGGGGTCAGGAATCCCGCAGGATCAAGAGGCGCTTTGTGTCGTTCCTTGTGGCTCTTAAATCTTTCCTTGTCAATGGCCAATTCGCAATTTTTTCTTTGCTAGACGCAATGCGGGGGGCATGCCAGCCCAACGGCGTAGCAGTGACACGGTCGTTTTCACGTACGCTGTGTATCATGCACTTACACAGAGGCCGATAGGCGAACAAGATAAGATGTCAGGGCAACATTGAAGTTTCCCGCCCATCACCAGAGAGGGGGCGCGTCGTCGACATGATTGGATTTGGACTCATCGTCTCCACCTGTACCGCAACTCTGTGACCCAGGCCGCATCAATTGATCTTGCCCTGCAGTCTTCTCCGTGGTTCAGTCGAGGTCAAGCGGGGGGGAAATGCAAGCTGCGTCGCCTGGGGTGAGACCGCATCTTGCAACAAAGAAAAAGAGTGCGCTGAAACCCCTGGAGACCTGTGAACCCAGCACTTCGCCGATGTATTATTGCCAGGGGAGTCGTCGTATAGCCCAAATTCACCCGTCACCTTGACCGGCGCCGCATAGTTGCAATGCTGGTGTAGGGATCCCCCTCCCCTTCCCCTTGCCCTTCCCCCCCGATATTGGGAGACTGGAAGATGTAAGTGATACTTGCTGCCTTGAGCCACAAATGGACAAACATAGATAAGTAAGCAGTCACCACGGGTGCATGTGGTGTATGTTTGTAAACCTCTGAATCTTTTTGCTGGACCTATATCCTCAGAGAAGTGGCGAGCATCCGCAACGCACCACGGGGAGTAGTACCCCGGGCCGCACACCAACGCATATCAACATGAGAACGGCAAAGAGGTAAAAAAAAAAAAAACACGCTGATATAGAAATAAAAGCCGTACCTCCCAGGCGGCGTGGAAAACAACGTCAGCCTTACAAGGCTCCATCTCCATGCGGCAACGAGAACTCGGCAAAATACGACACCTCTCATTTTGCGCCTCGCCATGGACGACATCAGAAAAGACTTGCCTCTGTCCATGACCATGGCCGCCTTCATTGGCATCTCGTGGTACATTGGCATCGAGATCAACGTGTCCCTGTTCCTCATCTTCAAGCGGCGGCGCGGCCTGTACTTTTGGGCCTGCGCACTCACGTCGTGGGGCGTCATCCTGCAGCCTCTCTTCATCATCCTCGCCGACTTTGGCGTGTGGAAAGACGCCGTGCCGTCCATCGCCCTCATCTACCTCTCCTGGCTGATCATGGTGGTGCCCCAAAGCTGGGTGCTGTACTCGCGGCTGCACCTGCTGATGCACACGGCCAGCGTGCTCAGGGCCATCAAGTACGTCCTCGTCTTCAACTCGGTTGTGTTTTCAATACCGACCATGGTGATTGGCACCATAGCTGTGAGTCAGAAACCAAAAGGCAAAAAAGGGGGGCGGGTGTCGGGGTGGTGCGGTCACAGCTAACACGGGCATGCCTCTCCTTCTTTCCAACCTCGTAGCAGGCCACGTCCATCAACGGCAACCTGCCGGCCTTCAACCTCGTCTGGGACCGGATCCAGCTCGTCGTCTTCTTCGTGCAGGAGGCCGCCCTCGGCATCCTCTACATCCTCCAGACCCGAAGGTACCTGCGCGGGCGGGCGCCGCTCACCGAGCACACGTGGTCCCCGTCGCCGGCCGGCCCGGCCGCCCGGCCGCAGACCAAGGAGCAGAAGGCGGTGCTGTGGCAGCTCATATACGCAAATTGCGCCATCATCGCGCTCGACACTGTGCTGCTCGGCATCCAGTGCGCCAACATGTTCCACCTGCAGGGCGCCTTCAAGCCGTGCGTCTACGGCATCAAGCTCAAGCTCGAGTTCGTCATCCTCAACCGCCTGATCCAGACGATCCGCAAGCCCGCCGCCACGGCGCTCTACCTCGGCACCGGGCCCGAGAGCTCCGCCCGCAGCCGCCAGTCGAGGCACAACAGCATGGGGCACAAGAAGCCCGCCGTCGTCGAGCCGCACGAGGACAACGACGCCGTGCAGCTGGTCGACAACATCTCGGCGGGTGCCTTTGCCTCTCACAGTCGGGAGAGCCAGGCGCCGACGTATCCCGGAAGCATCAGGTGACGTCCATGATGGGCGTTTTTTTTTTTATCTAGTTTAAGAAATATGAATTTTAGCCAGGGAAAGAGATGTAAGGACATTGTCCGTGATTAGGAGACATTCTACGAGCACCCATGTACCATCATGTTTATATCCGAGAAACGCTACATGAGAAACAAAAAAAAGACTCGACGTAACATGATCAGGTTGGCTAATTGCGTACTAGTGGACTATTGCAGAACAATTTCGAGTCTTGTTTATTTCTCTAGTCTGCTCCCTCATTAAACGTGCTGCCGCACGAAGCAAGCGCGCGACTACACATGCGGAGTTAGACCACCATGGCCGGCAGGGACTATTTACTGTCTGTGACGGATTGGCCTTGTAGAGCGCTTCTTTTGCTTGCAGCAGTTCTTTGGCGTCCAATTATCCCGCAGCACTGTTCCGTTTGCAGAAAATCCCGGCGCCACTGCAATCCAAACTCTCGTTAGCCCTGTTCACACGGGCAGATTTATATATACGTGCGTGTGTATACTTACTTGTGGTCCCGACCAGTGTCCAGTCGCCGTGGGAGCGCGCGCTCTGCCACATGCCCTTGGGCACAACGACCTGCGGCCTCTCTTCCGCCTCCTCGTTGAAGATGTCGGGCCCCAGGACGTGCCTCTCGCAGGCCGTGCCGTTGTCCCACGACAGCGAGAGCGTCAGCGGCGCGCCGGCGTAGTAGTGCCACACCTCGTGGGCGTCGAGCCGGTGCCAGACGGAGTCGCCCGCGTCGCCCTCGAGCAGGTAGTAGATGAGGGTGCTGACGGCGCGGTTGTTCACCTTGACGGGGTCCTCGAATGTCTGGATATAATAGCCCCTTTCCGGGTTCTCCACGAGCCCGAGCTTGTCGACGACTTCTTGTGCGCTGTAGTCGTCGATGGAGCTCCAGGCCAGGAGTCCGGTGGGCAGGACCGCGAGGGCCGCCAGGGTCGTGTATGCGTGGTGTAGGAGCATTGTGGCAGCTGTCAGTGAGGCCCTTGATGATTTGGCCCTTTTTTGTTTGGTTTCGTCTGATGTATATAAAAGAAAAAGTGCCGAATCTGGCCGAGACACGAGGTGTTTGGGGTTGGACGGGTTCGGGGTATTTTATGCGTCAACTGGTGATGGGGATGTTTTCCCGCAAGCGCCACAGAGTAGTAATAGAAGATCGAATCTTTGGGGCACGAGGAACTAAGGTCAGGGTGTCGTCCCTCTCTCCCCCCTACACATATATCATGTATGTATGTCCACATGCAGGTTTAATAGCGCAATTCCGCTCTGCAGGGTCCCCCGGTGTCAGCTTGAGGAGGAGACAGGGTTACATTTGCCCAATCGGCCAACTACTGCTACGCTGGATAACTTGTCAATTTTTTTTTTTGACCGCTGTTACTAAACTTACAATAACTGGCTGGGGACGGGTATTCTGCTTTTTCGAGAAACGCTAGGCAGCCAGACGTGTGCCTCTTCATCATGGCCCGTCCCGAAGCCTCTTTATCGGGATCGGCAGTCTACGTGGTACACGGCAACTCGGATCGCACTATTCATCGAGCACAGAGCATTTTCCCCTCACGATAAGCGAGGTGCTATAACATCGAGGGGGGGCAAACAGTTTGTACGGGGAGAGTTGGCAAAAGACGTTCTGGGCTCGTAACCCGGAGCCACTTGGTGTCTGGGCAAACTGGGCCGGCTTGACGACCATGGAGAGCCTTCAATTTAAGCAGCGTCTGCTGGCCTTATTACTTGGAACCCTTGTGATTGCATCATTCATTCACGAGCGCCTTCATGACTGATTCCAGCCCGTCTTCATATGGGCTAGACTGATGAATTGCGATTGGATGTCATGCCGGCAGACGCCGCTTCCAACAATATAATTTTCAATGCCCCCAGTCGACGGATGTACGTTATACAGCAATGGCCAGGCAAGGCAATCGGGTTCGGTCAACTACACTCTCCAACTAGATGGACAACAGCGCAGCCCATCCCAGCATGTGCATGAACCCCAAAAGTAGTGCATTCATTGATAGAGTTTCGGCCAGGGTTGGCCAAAAGTGGACATTCACAGCCCGTAAGAGGGCCGCTGATTTGTGCAACAAGGCCATCTCACCACCATCTTGGCCAGAAGGGTACAATATAGGCAGGGGGGTCGTGTGAAGGAGCGCAACGACGGATCCGGCATGTCTCAGTCCTGCGACTGGCAGGTTTCCTTTTGTCTGGAATAGTATACAACTCCGCATGTACAATACAATGGCTAGTTTGTACGCTCAAGTCGGCCCTTGGGCGTCAAATGAACCAGACGGGGAAGAAGACCAGCGGCCGCCAGCAACCTCGGGCTTAATCGCAGATGGCAAAGCGGAAACGACAAACACTGCTGTCATGCGTCGTTGATGACTCGAGCCTGCATGCAGCTATTATACTGTTTGCATAGAACTAGTTTGGCGACTGAGTCGTGCGCGGAAACTTGGCAGATGCTGGAAACATCTACAGGTCGCGATGAGATGACTTGACGCCATGAGTTGAGGGGAAAGGAAAAAAGCTGGAATGAACAGCGGGCCAGGGCGCGGTAGTTCCACCTCTTTGTGGTTTCGGCCACGGCCACATCTGGCTTTCATTCCAGATTGGCTTCCATGCATGATATCAGATCGCGGCGCCGGTCTTCTTCGGCTAGGCGCGTCACGTCCAAATGCTACGCTACGAAACAGCACCGGCAAATCAGGTTGGTCATGGTCGAGTCTTGGCCGGGCTATGACTGAGTTGGAGTTGAAGCTTGCCGGAGTGTCGTGCGTTCTGCCACGGGAATTGCATCATCCAAGTCGGCCGAGTGAAGAACAACTCTCACGGACAAGCCAACAATGTGATGGCTACTCACAACGCCCATGGGAGCCAGGTTTCTTCCCCCCGGGCCCATGGACAATATCTACGGAGTAGCGAAGCTTTGATATCGTCGGGGTCCACTGTTGACTGTCGTGTCCGTAGCTTCGTCCGAGTTATCAAATATCATGTCATAACCGCCTCATTTCACCTCCCGCCATGATTCACCGCCATTCCAAGTTTTGAGGGAATATTGACCGCATGTGGTCTTTTTGTACAGCTCATCAATTCCATTACACAATCTGCCGCGAGAAGCGCAGTCTTGATGACGACAACTTCCCACCATCATGCCACTTGGCTCTTGCCCGATAAGCTTCAGGCTCAGCACAACAACCCTGTCTCTTTACATGGTCCAATTTACAACTTCTGCAATCATCTAGGCGAGCCTGGGTGTGCATGTGGTTTCATTCATCTACAATATGTTTGGGAGTATTTCTGCCGTGGCCTGATACCCAAGTTGCCCTGACATGACAGATTGTGCTTACATGGCAAACGCGCGAGGTAGAAACAAAAATTGACCGCTCTACATATAATTCGCTCAAGTTGGTTTTTTCCGGATCAAGTGATTACTAGAAAGAGTTTAAAACTTGACAGCTTCATGGTTCTTGCCATTGCAACCAGACCTCACCTCTGGTATGTTCGACTCACTTCTTCATCTAGGGTAGGTTGAAAGCTGCAAGTTTAGGCCATAACGAGCAAGCAGCAACATCCCAACTACGGGCGTATGAAGGTGACATTTAAACAAGCCAGTCCTGTCCGTTTTGACTGTTGGGTCTTTCGCAGCCTGTCTTCTGATTGTCAACGTTTATTCGCATTTCTAGACGCTCACTTTGTCCAACCATGTCCAGTGCAAGTCGATCAGACGCAACTACAGCCGCAATAGCCCGAGGCGTCGTTGTGATACGGCGTATACATATGTACCTCTGCCAGACAGTCCTCCATGCTCACCGTCGTCCCCCATCCTCAAGAATCATGTGCGCCCCCTTCTCGGCGATGGCATAGACAGTCGCCTGCAAATGCGCGCTAATCTGCAACGGCATCACGCTCGCGTCCACGACCCTCAGCCCCCTGACGCCATATACCCTCAATCTCTCGTCGACTACGCCTCCCCTGATGCCCGCTCTTCCACCCATACCACACGTCCCGACAGGGTGCCAATCCGTAATGGTGTGTTGCCTCACCCAGTCCCGCAGCCGAGCATCGTCATCCACAACATCAGGCGTGGGATTTGCAGGGGCACGGATGATACCGGCCAGCGGCTGCGTTTTGGCAATCTTCTGTCCAAAACGGATGCACTCCTTGGTGATCTCGGCGTCGAGCTGTCCGTGTTGGCCGGCGTAGTATGCCGGGTCGATAACGGGCTTCGCGTCCCCCGTGGAGCTCTGCCCGGGGCGGATGTGGATTGACCCTACGGAGAACGGGTGCTGAAGCATCTGGAGCATGGTGCCGTATTTCTTGCCAGCGTCCCCTTTGAACGTGGTGCTCCAGTTGCCGAGGTCAAATAGGTACTCTACTTGGCCGAGGGTGGATGTGCCGTCAAGACGTCTCCGAAGGATGGCGCGTTTTTCGGCATTGTAAGCTGTCACGTTGGCGGATTTGGTGTGAATCTCGGCCAGGACGTGTGGCGGGACGGCGTGAGAGAAGGGAACGTACGTGAGTGCGCATGGGAGAATGGTGAAAGGGCCTCTCTGTTCGCGGAGGTACTGCTCCCTCGCGGCGGCGACAATGGCCTCGTCCGTTAAAAGATCATCAGGGTTCGATAGCGAGGGGTCGACCTTGAATATCATGGCCAACACTGCGAGCCATGTCAATGATGTTTCCTGACAGGTTTCCAGGAGACAGCAAACTCACTGATGTGGTCTTGCAAGTTCTCTCCGACCATTGGGCTGTCCACCTTGACGGCAACACCGGCCTTTTTCAAGACCTCTGTGCTTCCAATTCCAGACATTTCCAGAATTTGAGGAGACTGCACAGTTCCAGCTGACAGCACCACCTCCTTTTTCACATTCACCACATGGTCCTTGTCGCCATGGGAGAATCGTACTCCGGTCGCTACATAGTCGTGCTCGTCGCCGGAGCCATCTTTGCGAAGCACAATCTCGTGCACCGTAGCCCCCGTCAATATATGCAAATTTTCAGGCTGGTGTGCGGTGTAGTAACTGGTGGCATAGCTGCGGGCAGCTGTCACGGGGTTGACGGTAGTCACATTCGTCCACACACCGACATTCGATCCCGACAGATGGGCAGAATTGGTCTTGATGCCAACAGCATTGAGTGTTGAGTGCCACAGCTTGTGGGAAGGTGAATAGTCAGGAGAGTAGGAGATCTGAATGGGGCCGGTCGTGCCAAGGGCCTCGGGTTCGTGTATGGCGATGTATTCCTCCCTGAGGGCTTGAGTTGGCAGGTGGAAGGTTTCTGATTTTTTGAAGAATGGGCTGTATTTGACGGTCAGCTCGTAGGCTACGTGCTTAGGTAGCGATGCAGTCGTGGCAACTTGAGTCCAACTGCTGAGCATGAATATTGAATGGGTAGTTGAGGCTCGATAGCCATCGTCACCATCTACACCACATCATTCTCACAGAAACTCATGTCGTTACCGGTGCCACGGATCCAAACTCACAGTAAATCATTCCAGGACCATCCTTCATTTCCCAACGCCGCCCAGTCGTCATAATCCTCCCTGTTGCCTCGAACCCACGTCATAAAGTTCAGGGCACTTGTTCCGCCCAACACCTTTCCCCTCGGCCACGGCAGCCGTCTCCCGCCCAAACCATCCTGTGGCTCCGTCTCGAAGGCCCAATCCAACGGACCGCCGAGAGAACGGCCGTAGAAAGCGGGGATATCAACATTGTCTTCGCCGTTCGCAATGCCGCCCGCTTCCAGGACGCCTACCCTAAGTGACGCATCTTCTGCCAGTCGAGAGGCAACCGCTAAACCAGCAGTGCCGCCGCCAATGACAACGTAGTCGTAGGAATGGGCGAGGAACGACTCTGGTGAAGGGGACGATTTGATTGGGCTCCCCATTTTGGGGACGGAGCTGCGAGGCTGGGCGTGACAAGATTCAACACCTGTTGCCCGTCAACCTGTCAATCAAGTGTCTATTGTAT